TCCCTTTGACTCCTTTCTTCATCCATTGACCTCTAACGCTCTCGAATCTTCATCACAAGGTTGGAAACAAGTTTAGAGTATTTGCTCTTCAGTTCCTGAACTTTCACTTTCTTTCATTTTGATCATTTTTCACTTCTTTCTTCCATTTTCCACAGTTTTCACCCATTTACAGTATAAACAAAGATATATAAGTACTTAATACATTTAGGTGTCAAATAATCATAGAAACGTAAATATTAATGGGTGAAAAACGTAATAAATGTGCTATTATCAATCACAGAGGTTTTCTTCGTGCTGCACGAAGGTTTTCTCCGTCCAGCACAGAGAAGATTCTCTGGCACGTCATGGAGAAGTCTTCTCCGTGCTGCGAAGAACATAAAAATAAAAATCGATCCTTTTATGAGTATTCGAAAAACAATATACAAAATTTTGAATCCAAATTTTCTTTTTCGTAATTTGAGAACCCAACAAGAAAAACTCACCTCTAACACCAAGATCATAGCCAAAGAAAGAACCTCCCATAGCTACAACAATACAAGAAAACATGAAATAAATCAAGCAAAAATGTACTAAAAAGTAAGGTGACAAAGGGAAAAACTATCAGTGCCTTTGTGATAGATTCCTATCAAGCTCTGGAAAAGAATCGAGAAGCAGTTAATAGTAACAAATTCTATTAGATTTGGTTACAAAATACTTATAAATAGAGAAGATGTAGGATGTATTAGGGGGGAAATATTGAGTAGTGGGTTGATTAAATTAGGAGAGCTCGAGGCCTTTCGAAAGCCTTTGGATTGTTCTTTTAATTCTGTGGTCAGTTCTTCATTTCATAAATAATTGTTTTACATTCTGCAAATCAATACATATTTACAAATTATAGCTTCAGTTTCGTTACATAAATCAGCTTGTAGTACAATTCCCATCTTAATCAGTAATAAATCANTGGTCAGTTCTTCATTTCATAAATAATTGTCTTACAGATATACGATTTACAAATTATAGCTTCAGTTTCATTACATAAATCAACCTGTAGTACAATTCCCACCCTAATCACTAATAAATCGGTCTCATGTTGCTCCAGCAGATTGATAAACATCATCTCAGTAGCAACACACGTCCTTGCAGCAGATTCACATGTCCTTACAGCAGCTTCACAGGTCTATCACTTTGGCAGCAGCACCTTGAACAAGAGTGAGACCCACTAAAAGAGCATTTGGAACCTGACACTATTAGGGTTTCTATTAGAAGAATTGTAATAACAAGAACAGAAGTTTCAAAGACCGACAACAACCAACGGAAGATCGACGAGAAACATATCCACTCCCATCTTCGGGGATAAGGTTGAACATAGCAGCATGCAGATTTTCCTTGAGGTTGAGCGACTGAAGGTGAGTAAACCAGGGCGAGAGCTGCCAATACCCTCCACAACGTCAACACCAACACCACCACAACTACCATCACCTTCATCCTCTAATAGCCAGGAAATAACTGATAATACAAAGAAACGAGAGGCAAAGGTCAGGATTCAGAGCGAATGTCGAAATCCATTTTTCCTTCAAATGGTATATGTATTGTGTTTTACGATTTGTGAGAGAGGTTAGCGATAAAGATAGAAAAGGTAAAAAATGTATATAATGAAGATATTTTGTGAACAGTATCACCACGGAGACACTACACGGAGGTTTTCTTCGTCTGTTGACTTTGAAAAGACACAGAGTGCCCACAGGCGTGTCTCACTGGAGACACTCCGTGTTACCTTTAGCTACCTCTAGCTATACATGGAATCCATTTCTCAATATTGAGGGAGGTCAATAGCTACAACTTTTGAACTCTATTACAAACTCATTCCCCCCGTGTGATGAAGTATGCTTTGTTGTTTCTTATGCTGTTGCGGTGTTGAAGCCATCAATACGTAGTTACTAGCAATTCATATTGACCTTTTTATGTAGATGATGAGATGTTTGGAGCTAGAAACAGAGGACTTGTCTGGTAGAATTTTTCAGTAGCTTTTAAGCTAAAAAATGACCTTTTTTTTCAATTGGTGGGTCCTACTTGTGAGACCAAAAGGCAACAATGGTTGCCTTATTTCCTTCTAACGGTTCAAAAAGCCATTTTTTTTGGTTTAAAAAGTGCTCCCAAACAAGCTCTGAGTAGGGGACAATGTGGGTCTTTTATGTTGATTTTATTGGAGAATTCAACACATTTAAAGCTAACACTGTCTATAAAATAACAAATCCTGTGCATTTGCACGGGCAAAAACTAGTGGTAATGAAAAGAGAGTGAAGAACGATCCCCAAGCAAAAGAGTGATTGAGTTTGACTTAAGTGAGCGAGTCAAAAGTGTCACGAGAGAAAGTTCGACTCACTTTGATCCCTTTTACCCAAAGTCAACAAAGATTTTACATTTAGGGTATGTATGATTGCAAATATAGAACCTGCACGGAAATAAAATAAGTTGTAGACAATTAAATTTTCTAGAACTTATTTGCATGAAAATTATTAATTAAATGTGTTTGATGATTTAATTTTCAAACTAAAAAAATATTTTACTTGTCTATCTTTTATTGGTAGGTAGATATGAGCTAGAGAATTACCTTAAAAATAAAAATCTACCAATCACTAAAGAAAATGTTTTCATAGATTTTAAGGAAAACATAGTTACGTGACCAACTTTTGAAAATTATTTTTTATGAAAAAAATATCAATCAAACACAACAGATGTAGGAATTTGTGTGAAAAATGATCTTCAATCAATATTATTTTATTGTTGTCAAAGCATTTTATTCCTTTCTTTGGCACAAAGATAAGGGAAGATGTTCATCAACATTTAAATCTCCGTCCACCCCCTTCTCTTCTCTCTCCATAGATTCACATAATATATACATACACTATACATATATTTCCCTGGCTATACAATATCAGATTCATACGCACTAGTGGAAGGGGACGGGAAAAATGGCGGCTTTTGAGTACC